ACAAAGTCACGTCACCAGCAACGACACTCCAGAAGCGAAGGGGAATGTTGGAAACAATTAATTAAACTCTTCTTATGTGTCGTAACACAGAACTACAAACGAGGCGAACTACAGAGGAACAACGGCTAGTCAACCATCGGAGGTTGACAAGAGAAGTAATTGCTGGAGGTTACGTGAATGTCAAAGGTCAGCGACCTTCGACTTGTCAAATACAGCGCGACAGCAAGGACAAACAACTGACTCGATACTGAGCAGTTGCCCGAGTCGTCGCTGTATCGAACCGGAACAGCAACAGTAAAACAGTTATTAGTTGCACCCTATAATCAATCTATCTTGCCCTCACACACTAGCGCAAGGTGGTTCAACACTTGTTATCAAACGCTTCCGCAATTACAACACTTCTACTCAGAGTTTAGCCTTGAAAAGACCTTAAGGGGCCTTTCTCAGCCCAACAACCTCCAGCAGTTGCTTTTCTTGTCAACCTCTGATGCAGGGCCTCAGATTCGTTTGAGGGTACCCTGTGGACTCAGGGCAGTTTTTAAGAAACCCTATTTTGTCCTGAAATGTCAGGACTGTGCAAGGATGGGTTTGCTGTAGGGTCAGTGCTACAAATGACATTATCCTGACCCGTCAGTGCTACATTTCATTTTATCCTGTGCACGACGGTAAAGGCTGTATTTGTTCTAATTAAGAGCCACTTTGGATTCTTTTTTAATAGACATGCATTTCAACATTCATCGTCCTCCTCCTCCTCCTCCAGAAAATATTGAAAAGCATCATTATCATTGTCCCCCCCACTGTCTGCATCCCCCCCATCCTCTGCGTGGTGGTCACGCTTCTCTGCAAGTGACCCCCGGAACTCTGTGGCACTCCTCTTCGATACATTCACCGTGGCTGCCTTGCGCTTGGTGGGTCGCCTCTTTTTGGTGCTGCGCCACAGTGCCACAACTTCACTCCTCTCCATGTCGTACTCCAGTAGACTCAGCGTCATGAGGTCGCCCAGCTTCGCATCGCACAAGCTGGTCCGCTGCCAGCTCTTGATGACATTCTGGCGCGAGAATCCGCGCTCGCACTCCACCGTGCTGAGCGGCAACACTGCCACAGCCGCCCACAGCCGCACCAGGTTCGGATAGGTCCGCTGCCAGTCCGCAGTTGACAGGATCGCCCGTAACCCCGCATGGAAGGGTTGCTCCTCCTTTGGCGCCCCGGACAGCACAGACAAAAACGTGCGCATCTCCTTCCGCACTTCGCGCTTGTTCACACCTGTATGATGGGATGATAAGGGAACATACAAGTGCAGCATCAACAATCGCGTTTCTGAGGGGTACAAGATACACAGTGATGTTTGTGGGCGAACAAAACAGTTATCTCACCAGGCAGTATATCATCTCTGACGCGAGCATGGAACATCACCGCCAGCTTCTCCATGTGTTCTTTGCACTCCGCGTCTCTCGCCTCTTTCCCACGCGGCCAGGTTCTTGGCATGAAGAGCTTTGCGGCGTTGAGATTTGTCAGGTCGCCAAGCCGAAAGTCGAGGTTGTAAAGCAGCTCAGTCGCAAACGAGCGACACGTTCGAATGCAGGACTGGATGTCACCAGCGCTCGCCAAGTACCCGGGAATCGCCTCCTCGTGCAGGGTGAACTCATGCTCCCTTGCCTCCCCGTCGGCGTCCACTCCCTGGACAGTCACTTCCCTGCTGCATGGTGCACTGTGGCGAGCAAGGAACGGCGGCAGTAGAGTGCTCGCCCCTGCACCGAACTGTTGCCCACAGTCGATGTAGCGCTCTCTGATGAAGACTTCTGTACGCCTCAGCTGGGAGTGGACCCCCGTCAAGTCAACCTGTGGTCGGGTTTTGGATCAGGGAGGGCACAGTAGTGAAACACATCCGTGAGCATCAAACACCTATCAAGTGAATAGTGCTACAAAGCAGACAACGGTACCTCGCGCCTCTGGAAGAGCATGTTGAGCGAGTTCAGCTCTATGTGTACATCCGCCAGGAAGTACACAAAGAAGTGGAACTTCAGGCTGGTGACCATGTGGTAACAGGTTGAGTCCAGCTGCTCCAGAAGGACAATCACCGTCGGCAGCACCTTCACGAACCGGGCTATCGCGTCACCGCGGCTTAGCCACCGTACGGCGTGGATCCCTTGCATTTCCAGGTTCGTCCGGGTGAAGACGGCCTGGAGCTCCTTGAATGCAGCGTTCGAGGTGCTGCTGCGGCCGAGATGCTCCGCCAAAGCACGGATGAGAGCGTCAACCATGGCGAGCTCTGGGAGCGCTTCTGCAGAATCTTTCGCGGCAAGTGCCTCCCTGTAAAGAAAAAGCCACGGACACGGCGTCAAGCAGTCAGTTGGTAAAACAGCGGCAGATGTTGGATCTGGGATGCAGAGGCACCCACCTGTGGGCGATGCAGTGGCACGAGACCACATGAGGGATGCAGAGTCGAAGTCGCCCGGTCAGTCCGTTGGTTCCGCCGAGCATGACTGGAGCGCCATCGGTGCTAATCCCGACGATCTTAGCAAGGGGGAGGTTGATGCTGTCGAGGTAACCGACGAGCACTGCATACAGGGATCCTGCATCGCATTTGTCAACTGTCAATAGTGTGAGAAACTCAGTGGTAACCTTGTTTTCACGCAAAAAAGTGATGAAGACGATCATATGCTTCCCCCGCACGCGGTCAGTACTCTCATCACAGCTCAAGCCAATGAATGGGCTCGATTCTATGAACTCTCGCTGCTTCGCACGAAGATAGCTTGCTGTCGCGGACACTAGTTCCGCGAAACCGTACCTGCGAACACACGGTTAGGGAACATAGTGTTAGTATATAGTAGATCATGTGTTACGTGAAAGATATGAACAGCATATTACTTACGTTGTGTAATACGCGCCGTAGCCATTCTTCGGGAAGCCCGGAGTCCCACGGGAAGCAAGGTGCCGGACGAGTTGCACCCACATCTCTATGGGTGCGTCGGTCTTGGTGATGAACAGCATGGTGTCCAGCAGCGACTCCACAGCGTCGTGCTCCACGTCACGGGCTGTCGGGCAGTCTGGGATGCGATGCTGTCCGGCAGCTTTGGCCAAAGCCAGCTCCTGATTGCGGATGGCTTCTCTGTGCTTCGTGGTCCTTTGATGACGTTGCATGGCCTGAGTCTGCACATCCAGGGCCCCCTCGCCTTTCCCGAAGTTGGTTCCTGTTCCTCCATAATCCATACACACTGTACATTTCATGGAGGGGAAACCAAATTTAGTTTGACAAATAATAAGCCAAGGGAAGTCCTCGTTCCACCGTCGTTTAAACATGAGCAAAGCTTCTTGATACTTCTCCTCGGCGACGTCGGGAATCTCGGTGTCAGAAGAAGCAGTGGCGGCGGTTTCAACAAGGACAGTAGGTTCGGTGGTCGGTTCATGATGTTGCCTGGTGACAGAAATGACAGCGGTGGTGTCAGATGTACGGACAAACGAGAGCTTTGTCTGTTGATACCGTTGCGCGGAGAGTTTTTGGCTCGGTGGTCCTTTGCGGGTCGTCCCAGCCGCCTTAGAGCACTCCCCTTGCGTGCGAATCGGCGGTGGCACGGGGACGTTGTCAACCACGACCGGTGCAGCTGTCACGGGAGAAGGCACGGGTGGCTGGGACGGCGACGGGAGGGGATCAGCTGCGGCAGCGGCAGCGGAATCAGCTAGTGTTGGTTTCGGCGGTGGTGGAGGCTGAACAGGCCTACTACGCAATAAATCCAGGCCCGTCAACCCTACGGTCGGGCCGGATGGGCTAGGTATGGCGGGGGCTTCACCATCGCCCGCCGGCGATGGGTCAGCCATGGACGGTAATTTGCGGCAAAAATAACGCAGACATACGGCGTCGAGCAGCTAGGCAAGTTACGGGGAAAAACAAAGATTGTTGGCGTTCTGGCTGGGGTTTGGTTGAGAGACGAGAACAGGCTGGAGGGGATGGAGGAAGAGACAGAACAGAACATCACAATCTTCCCAACCCCAGACACATGGCGCGTCGACCACAGGAGTCGCGGCGTATGCGCTGGCACAAGCATCTTGCAAAGTTGGATAAGGGACAAGTTTCATGGCTAGGTGGGAAGCACGTGCCACCAGCATCTTGCATTGTTGGCCGTGTTTTTCAAGCGTGTTAAGTCAGCGGCGCACTGTGATTGGAAGATGTTACAGCATTATTGTGGTTCCAGGCTGGGCGCGGTGTGGTGTTGCGCCACCCAGGCAAAAATAAACAGTGCGACAGTCACGGAGCGTAATTTACGCTGTACCAGGTCGGTGGTTGGGTACACTAGGCCCGGGGAAAATGCAGTATTCGCGTCAGGACGAGTCTCGACACTATCCTGACTCATCAGGGCTGTACCTACAGCGCTATCCTGAGGGCCCAGTATGAAAAAATACCATTATACTGATACTACAGGACAGACATTTGCATTATGCTGTTTTTACAGGAGAGGCACTAAACACCTATCCTGAATTCAGGAGAATCAGGATAAATTATCCTGATAACGTAGGCCTTGCTCCGATGGTTGACTCCTTTGTAGTTCGCCTCGTTTGTGGTTAAGTGTCACGACACACAAGAAGCGTTTAATTAAATGTTTCCAACAAAAATCACACAAAGGCACAGTAAATCCAACCCAAGTTAACATAAGAAGAAAGGAGAAAAAAAAAACTGCATTGGGTCGGGAGCACTCCAGGCCCGCCCGGCCTAATGGTCCCTAAAGCGGGCTTAAAAAAAAACAAAAAAAAAAAAGCATCACGCACGCAAAACTGCAGACCGGCCTAATGGTCTCTGAAGCGTGAGGGGCCGAAGAAAGGCGCAAGGATCTGGAAGAGGCCGTCCGGGTTGTCAGTGTGGACCTGCGGGTTGGGGATAACGCGACACAGAAAAAATGAAAGCAGTTGGTGATTTCGAACAAGAAGGGATGCCTGAAAGGCCTCATGTTCCAGGTGACAGGTCCATGCCCAGACACCCCAGAAGGGCCTCACAGAAGCACCGTTCCTCACCCCAGCATGCATCCCTTTCCCATGCCCCAATGCCCATGCAAACCACGTGCATCACACCTCGAGACCCCTCTCAACCGCACTGCACCCGCCCAGTGCCCGGGGTCCTCCAGCACGTGCATCCTCAGAGCAGCGCCATGCCCCATCGCCTCCTGCTCTGCCCCCAGCACTGAGTGCGGTGTCAGGTGCCACGATGCTGCTGTGACGGCACAGGCAGTAGCACCTAAAAAGAGCAGCACCAAACCAAGCAAGCAGAAGCCAGCAGGAGCAGCACTGTTCTCAGCGCACAGCACACAGCACCCTCCAACTCACCAGGTGTAGCACGTCCTTAGCAGCAGGGTGCACCGAGATCGGTGCCAGGTGCCTGAACGCTACTGTGGGCGCCCAGGCAGTAGTACCTATCATAGCAGTGCACAGCGAGCAGCAACCAACTCACCCGCTGCATCAGCCTCCCACCCAGCCACCCACCCACTCACCAGGTGCAGCACGTCCTTAGCAGCAGAGTGCACCGAGTGTGGTGTCAGGTGCCTGAACGCTGCTGTGGAGGAGCAGGTTGGGCCAGCAGCAAAGAGAAAGGCCAGCCAGTACCCAGCAGGTGAACGGTAGCAGGGAATACAGCAGTTATACAAGCACCAACTTACCAGGTGCAGCACGTCCTTAGCGGCAGAGTGCACTGAGTATGGTGTCAGGTGCCTCGACGCTGCTGTGGACGCCCCGTGGCATCGCAGGTCCACACACAGGAACTGGGGAAGAGGGTTGAGGGGAGGGGAAAGGGGAGTGGAAGGGGAGCTATGAGGGGAAGGAGCAAGGCATGGTCGAGAGATGCTGCTGTGGAGGCCCCGTGGCAGCGCAGGTCCACACACAGGAGGAACTGGGGGAACAGGCATAATTTTGTGGTGCTGCTGTGGATGTACGTTCCGTGGCAACGCAGACCCACACCACACACAGCAATGGAGGTCGGGAGTGGGGAGAACGCGAGATTCGGCGGAGTGTGGAGGGGAACGGAGCAAGTCATGGTGGAGCTGCTGTGGAGGCTCCGTGGCTTTGCAGGTCCACACAGAGGAACTGATGAAGGGATTGGGGAGACGTAAGGGGAGTGGGAGGGGAGCTTTGAGGGGAAGGGGAAAGGCATGGCAGAGAGATGCTGCTGCGGAGGTACTTCAGCGAGGGTCTACACACAGAGGAACTGGGGGAGGGGGTGGGTGGGAGGAGGGACTTTTGACATATCTCAAAAGCAGAGTGCACTGAGTGCGGCACCAGGCGCCTTGATGCGGCTGTGGAGTCCCCGTGGGAATGCAGGTCCACACAAAGGAACTGGAAGGGAATAGAGAGGGGATTGCGGTTGGTTACAAGTTGGAGGGAGCAGAGACAGGAAGGTCGGAGTTGCAGTAGTTTCTGTGGAAGCCCCGTGGAAATGCAGGTCCACACAGAGGAACTGGAAGTGGGCAGGGATGGGGAGCGGAGTTTAGAGGGGGAAGGAGCAAGGCATGGTTGAGGGGAGATGCTGCTGTGGAGGCCCCGTGGACATGCAGTGTAGGTCTCCACGCACAAACCTGAAGGAGAAGACAAAGAAGCCCTTCATGAGAACACAAGTTCGTGCCATGAATGCGGCTCTGAAGTGCCATGCACTCATAGCGCTCCTTCTACTCATCTTATTCCCCACGTGACACCCACGCAAACCAGGCAGGGACACAAACAGCCACCTGCCAGGCAGCAATCCTGTGGATGGGACGTCACCACTCGTCCTCTCACTCGGCGAGCAAAGGAGCCCCAGTTCTTGCCGCTGCCCAGAATGTTGTGAATGAGCAATGCGCACTCATCCACACAAGGCAAACACCAGAAAACCCACCTGCCAAGCGGGGAACTCTGTAGCGAGACGGCGAGCAAAGGAGCCCCAGTTCTTGCCGCTGCCCAGGATGCCGTGAATGAGCACTGCTGTTGGGGGCGGGGGCTGACGGCGAGTGCGGTCCTCCGACCAACGCACCTGAGAGGGGAGCACGAAGGTGCGGGAGAGGGAAGGAGGAGAGGGAGAGGGAGATGGAGGACAGAAGGGAGGGGCGTGATGCCGTTGATGTTAGAATATAGCATAATGTATGTTTATATTTGTGCATGTGTTACACCCTAAAGTGGGTGTACACTTTGGGTCAAGGCGACCCAACCAATTTTGGTTGGGCGCCCCCAAACCCAACTCGACCGCAATTGACGGGGGGGGGCCAATAATGGTCCCCTCCAACGATTGTTGGTTACCCCAGCAATTGTTGGTCGACCCAATCTGATTGGTCCACCAATAAATGCTGAGGGTACCCCACTTCGTTCCCAAAACTTCTCATCTCCTATATGTACCGACACTCTTTCTAATCAAGACAACACTTGAGATTCTTTCATGGTATTCAGAGCCAATTGGCAAACGCCCCTCTCGACCTCTTTCTCTCAAGTTTTTTTTCCTCCCCGCTCGTCATGACCCTTCCGTCCTGCCCATGCAACTTGTTGCGTGGGTTTGACTTGGTTGAAGTTCAATCTTCCGTAAAGTACAACCAGTCACCACCTCCCTCCAGCTCCTACTCTATCTCTCGTAAGGCGAATTTCTCGCCTCAGCTCCTGCCGCCGCATTTACGTTCTCAGCTGCCGGCGTCTCAATCGCCGCGACCTATCCGCCGTCGCCACTACTCTCGCACCGCTTTTCTTCCTTGCGGGGCATTTCGCCGCCGCCGCCACTGTTCCCACTCGCCGCGGGGCATTTCGCCGCCGCCGCCACTGCTCCCACTCGCCGCGGGGCATTTCGCCGCCGCCGCCACTGCTCCCACTCGCCGCGGGGCATTTCGCCTCCGCCGCCACTACTCCACTCGCCGCGGGGCATTTCGCCGCCGCCGCCACTGCTCCCACTCGCCGCGGGGCATTTCGCCGCCGCCGCCACTGCTCCCACTCGCCGCGGGGCATTTCGCCGCCGCCGCCTCTGCTCCCACTCGCCGCGGGGCATTTCGCCGCCGCCGCCTCTGCTTCCACTCGCCGCGGGGCATTTCGCCTCCGCCGCCACTACTCCACTCGCCGCGGGGCATTTCGCCGCCGCCGCCACTGCTCCCACTCGCCGCGGGGCATTTCGCCGCCGCCGCCACTGCTCCCACTCGCCGCGGGGCATTTCGCCTCCGCCGCCTCTACTCACTCGCTGCGGGCAATTTGCCGCCGCCACTGCCTCTCCTCGCTGCAAGACACTTCGCCGCGGCTGCTCCCACTCTCCCTCGCCGCCAGGCACTTAGCTACTGCCTCATCTCTTCCTCCCCGCCGCTCCCTCGACCCTTCCCCCCCCCCCCCCATTGCTTCCGCCCACCGTTTCCTCTCCCGCTGCCTCTCTCATACTATCTCTGCTCTCCGCCTCTCCTGCCACGCTACTGCTCCCAATCCTCTCCCACGTGCTGCTACTAACCCCCCTCCTCCTCTCCCTCAGCTTCTAACCTGCCTCGCTTTCGCTCGCTACTAACATTTTTTCTCCCCTCACATCGCACTAACTTACTGCTATGGCTGCTCCTTCTCTTCCTCAGAATTTCAACACTCTCTCCATTGATCGGCTTGAGCTCGCTCCCGATCAGAGCGCTATCAACTGGTACTCCTACACAGGGAGCATGCGCCGCCTCCTCGGCGTCATCCACATCCCCAACACCTCCTCTACCCTCCTCGACCTTGTCCTCCGCCATGCTGCCGCTCTCCCGCCAACGCCCCCTATGTCCCCTGGATCGGCCCCCACTCTCCCGCCTGACCCTGGACCTGAACCTGACGAACCAGATCTGCCCGCTGCCTCCACGGATCCTGTTCGCCAAGCCGCTGATGAAGCAGCCTACGATCTCGAGCGGCGTCGGTTCCTCACGCTCCGAGCGGACCATCGTGCGGCTCGCGAGCAATACGACATGCGCCAAGCTGCCATAATAAATCACCGCACCATGGCTGACCGCTACACTCTCGCGCTCGCTGAATATACCGCTAAAGCTGCTGCTTGGAAGGAATCTGACCTTTCTGCCTCTAATATTATCCTTGGTGGTCTCCCCCCCGCTCTAATGCGAGACTTTCAGGAACAAGAGCTTCACGCACCTGCCCTTTGGGCCTCCCTTCACGCCATGTTTGAGCGCCATGACGTCAACTCCGTGGGGCTGCTCCTTGACGAATACTGGGAGACAACGCTCGCAACCTGCACTGGTGCCGTCGCCTACACCGGCCGCATGACCTCTCTCGCCAAGCGACTTAAGGCTCGCCAGTCCGAACTCCCCCAGTTCATCCAGATAGATCGCCTTCTCCGCGGTCTCAACCCGTCCTACGACATGCACGTCATTGCCTTCCGCGAAAATCAGCCGTTTGCGGATGTTGCTGCTGTTGTTCAATGGATCATTGACACCGAAACCCGCCTCCTTCGTACCAACCCGCCTTCTCTCAACACGGCTCAAGCACCCGCGCCAGAACTCAACGCCACCCAGACACGCGGTGGTGGGCGTGGTGGTGGTCGCGGTGGCGGACGTGGAGGTGGGCGTGGTGGCGGCCGTGGTGGTGGACGTGGTGGCACCTTTGGTGGACGCACTCCTTCTTGCACGGGCGGCCCTGGAGGAAGTGGACGTGGTGGTAGCGGACCTGGTCAACTCCCCCCCTGCCCCTACGTTCGCCGTCACGGCCCTCGCGCTGGGGAACCCTGCGGTCAAACCAACCACCCCATAACCACCTGCTTCGGCGTCTTGGACGATGCCTGGTTTGATCGTGGTAACCATGGTACCCCCCCCCGCTGGTCCGCTCTTGCAAGTCATCCCACTGTCCATGATGTTCAACATCTCCCTCTCTATCAACCCTCCCACCTTAACCTCACCACTCCCTCTCCTCAACTGCAACTCCAGCAGTTTTTGCAGCATCTTCAGTCACAGCAGTTGCAGCAGCCCCCGCAGCTGCCCCCACAGCCGCAGCCGCACCAGCAGCCACAGCAGCCGCCCTGGGGAGGTGGGGGAGGCGCAGCCGCCACAGCAGCGGCAGCGGCAGCAGCAGCAGCAGCAGCAGCAGCAACTGCCGCCTGGCAGCAGCAACCTCTTGGCTTCGGTTCTGCCGCCACCGCCGCCCATACCTCCCCAGCTGAGTCATACTCTAGCTTTCTTGGTCAGCTAGCTTCTCCCTTGCCTAGCACCACCTCCATGTATCCCTCTGTTCTTAATAACAGTGACTTCCAGTATTCTGCGTCTCCTTCCCCGCTCACCTTGGACTTTGTCCTCGATAGCGGGGCCACCGTCAGTGCCCTGAAGGACGCTGGCATTCTCAAAACACTATCTCTCCCCTCCACTGTTCATGGCGCTGATTCTAGCTTCTCGATCCCATGCACACACTCCTCTACTCTTCCGTGTCCCCTCTTTCCCTCCGGCACTATCACTGGCCTCCACATTCCCACTCTTCGTCACAACCTTATTTCTCTTCATGATCTCCAAAAAGCCGGCATTACCGCCATTTTTCCTGCCCACTTTTCCTATTGCGATCTCATTCATACCTCCACTGGCCGCCTTGTCTATCGCCTCCCAATCTGCCCCCGCACTCACCTTTACACACTACGTCTCCCTTTTCCGGCATCATGTCATCTCACCACCCGTCGCTCCACCTACCCTTCTCCCACCATTGCTCCTCCCCCTTCATCATCTCCCACTCCCTCTACCTCTCCCGACCTCTCCCTCTCTCACCCCGCCATTCTCCTCCATCACCGTCTTGGTCACCCCAACTTCACCACCCTCCGTGCCGCAATATCCTCTCGCCTCCTTCATGGGCTCCCCCCTGCCCTTCCTCCCCTACCCACCTCACCAGCTCCTCCTTGTCCCACTTGCATTCATGGCAAACTCAAACAAAAACCCCATCACAGCCATCCCTCATTTGCTACTGCTCCCCTAGATCTCGTCCACATGGACCTCTGGGGTCCCTCCCCCTCCCCTTCCCGCCAGGGCCACCGCTTTATGCTCGTCCTCGTAGACGACCATAGCCGCTACTCCTCTGTGTTTCTACTCCACACGAAAGCTGAAGCAGCCGCTGTCATCATCGCCTGGGCCGAACAAGCGCGCGTGCACTTCGGCCGACCCATCCGTCGCCTTCACTCTGACGGTGGCGGGGAGTTTCTCAACCATACCATTGCCTCCTACTGCAAAGCACATGGCACTCAACAGACGTCCACTCTCCCTCATTCTCCGCAACAAAACGGTGTAGCTGAAAGTCGCATCCGTGAGATCACCAAAACTGCCCGCTGTCTCCTCACCCATGCATCTACCCCTCCCTCCCTTTAGGGCTATGCTCTCACTCATGCCGCCCTTCTCACCAACCTCTACCCTCACCCCCACCATCCCAACCTCACTCCCACTGAGCTTTGGTGCAACTCCAAACCTGATGCCTCCGTCCTTCGCGTCTGGGGCTGCAAATCCTTTGTTCTCATTCCTCCCGCAGACCGTTCCCGCAAAGCAGGAAAACTTGCCTCCAAAGCATTGGAGTGCGTCTACCTCGGCCACAATCGTGGCTCTCCTGGGTACCTCTTCCTTCATCCTCCCTCCGGACGCCTCATTCGCAGCCGCGATGTCGTCTTCGATGAAACCATCCCCTACTACTCCTCTCCTCCTCCCTCCGACCCTCTCCCCCCACCCTCCCGCCCACTCACCTGGGCGGATGCCCTTCTTCCTCCTCTCCTCCCATCTGCTCCACTCCTCCCAACTACTCCACTCTCACCTCCACCTTCCTCGGCTGATATCTATGATCCTGCTGCCTCACCTGCCCTTTCCACCGCTCCCCCTCCTCCCTCTCCCCCTCCTCCCTCCCCTCCCACCCACCTCCCTCCAGCTTCTCCTCCTCCATCCTCGCCCGCCGCACCTCCTGCATCCTCCCCACGTCCTCGCACTTCTCTCACCTCACGCTCTCCCTTCCTCCTCCCACGCATGCACACTCGCTCCCTTGACCCCATTCTTGGTCAACCACCTCTCATTCATGAAGACTCCCATGAGGAGTTTTGTGCCATTCACACTCACGTTCCTTCCCTTAACCCTGTGTACCTTGCCCTTTTGGGCGCGGTTGTACTTGGCACTCCCTCCTCACCTCTCATCTTCACGCCTACCACATTCCAGGAGGCAATCACGTGCCCTGACGCTGACAAATGGCTGGAGGCCATTCGCAAGGAGTGCGACGCCTTCATTCGCAATGATTCCTTCGTCGATGTCAAGCCGCCTCCAGATGCCAACATTGTCGCTGGCAAGTGGGTCTTCCGGGTGAAGCAGCTTCCGGGGGAGGAGCCCGTCTACAAAGCCCGTTACTGCGCCAAGGGCTTCACACAGACCTATGCCAAGGACTTTTGGGAAACCTTCTCACCTACCGCAAAATTCGGGACCCTTCGCACGCTTCTCGACTTTGGCTCCCGCAACGGCATGGAGATCTCATCAATGGATGTCTCTAACGCTTTTCTTCAGGGGAACCTCCACGAACAAATCTTCCTCGACCGCCCAGATGGCTTCCATGAAGCCTTCCCACCAGACACTGTCTGGGAACTACGCCGTCCAGTCTACGGCCTGAAGCAGGCTCCTCGGGAATGGCATGCTAAGCTGGCATCTACACTCTGTGCTCTCGGATTTCAACCATCTCACTCTGACGCCAGTCTCTTCATTCGGACCCGTCCCAGCCGCTTCTTCGTCCTAGTCTATGTTGACGACATGTTGCTCCTCGCCGACACCTCCGCCGACATGACCGACGTTAAGGAAGAACTACAAGCTCGTCTCCAGTGCAAGGACCTTGGCGAATTACGCCACTACTTGGGCATGGAGATCACACGCGATCGAGCTGCCCGCACCATCACCTTATCTCAATCTCACTATCTTCAGCAGGTGTTGGAGCGGTTCGACATGGCTCTCGCCAACCCAGTGGCCACTCCCCTTCCATTCGGCCATGGGCTTGCTCCACCCACCTCCCCCTCCGCCTCCACTCAGCCCTATGCGGAACTGGTTGGCTCCATCATGTATGCCATGATGGGGACCCGTCCCGACCTCGCCTACCCCATCAGCGTCCTGGCGCGTTTCGTCGGTACCGGTCGTCACACCTCCGTGCATTGGAGAGCCGCCAAACGAGTCCTACGCTACCTCCGTGGCACTCAGGACCATGTTCTCA